CAGATAGGTGCTTTCAAATAGAAAATGTAGTCCTGGCCAGTGGGTCTCAGTGGTTAGTGTCAGCCCACTCACCAAAGGGTCACAGTTCCATTCCTGGTCAAGGGCTCACACCTGGGTTGCAGGTTCATTCTCCAGTCCCATTTGGGGTGCGTGGGAGAGGCAACCAACTGATGTGTCTCTCTCACACTGATGTTTCTCCCCCTCCCCCCCTGGGCCCTTTCACTCTATCTAAAAACAATGGAAAAATATCTTCCAGTGAGTATTTAAAAACAAATAGTAAAAAGAAAATATAGGTGGAAACAGGGAGGAGGTTGGGTTCCATTCAAAACATTTGGAGTTTGAGGCAATAGTGGAACCTCCAGGTAGAGATCCACTGCTGGCTTGAAACATGGGTCTGAGGTCAGCAAGAAGGCGGAAGCTTGAGACAGAGGTCTAGGACCCTCTAGAGGTGAACTGCCCACAGTGCTTAGAAAAGAGCTGAGGACTGAACCCTGGGGAAACACCCAGGGACAGAATACAACAGTCAGAGGCAGGTCAACAACTGGAGTGAGCAGGATCCCAGGAGTTCAGGACAGGGAAATACTGGCCCCTCCACCAGAGAATATGGACTTTTCTCCCCCCCACTAGAACAGAAGACGCAGAAGGGTAGGGACTCTGATGCTGCCGTATCCGCAGGGCCTACAACAGTGTCTGCCTCATAGTAGCTGGTCAAATACTTGAGTGAATAAGAGGATAAGGATTGAGCTTTAAGTGGTCACTGAACTTGGTAACTAGAAGGCACTGACAACAAACCAGGGCCATATTCAGGACCGCCATCACCCCCCACCCCTTATTCTGTCCACCACCACCTAAGCAGGTCACCACTGCAGAAGACAGAGACAGTCAGACACACAAGTTCACCTCAGACGATGTCTCACTCACACACTTTGGTGGCAGTTCTTCCTAGGCTGACACTGTCACTACAGACTGTGACATAGCGAGTCTATAAAAGCCACACCGAGCATGTGAGCATAAAAGTAACGTTAGATTAAAATGGACCTTACGTGCGTTATGCCAAATAAAGAATCACCCCATCATTTATGTTTTATGAGTTTTCTCATATGCTTAAAAATTAGCATGCCTTGATCTTTTATAGCACCTTTCCCCACCAATCAGTGTTGGCAGATTTCCAGCTAGATGTAGACGGTGAAAGATCAGCCTGTGGAGTGCTGCGTTTTGTGATAAACAGCCCCAAACGGAGCCTTGCAGTTTCTGAGGTAGAATCCTGCCCACACCGGTGAGCTGCTGGGACTTCAGTCCTTCCCCAGGCCATCAGCAGGGTCAGCTTTCTTCGCCCACCAACCAGACCACGCAGGACTTGTAAATCAAGCACAGAGTGGGTGCTCAGTATTCATTATACACCTGGATTTTCCTTTGAACTGTGAATGTAACAAAAATCCACACCTCTTTCCAGCACTGTTCAGACCCAGGGGCTTGTGTCTTCACTGAAGGACTGAGGTCCTGATCCCTCATGAAGTCTTCCTTCCGTCCTCAATAGAGGCCAGTTCCCTTTGGGCCGATCTTCTCTGAATGCAATGGGCTTTGCACCTCCTACTTACTCAAAACTTCACAAAGTATATTTGCTACACAGGTATTTATTCAATGACTTTCTGTATTTAGCCACCACTTAAATCACTGCTAAGCTCTTTTCATATCTATTTGCTCACAGTTCATCTTGGGTTGCAAAGGCAACAGACGAGGGGGAGCCTGCTAACTGCAATTGACAATGACTGGCACTGTGTCACACAGGCTCTGAGTACCTGCCTGTGAAGACAGGATGGAGATGAGGGTCCTGAGTAAGGGCCGACAGGCTGCACAACCCTTGGAACCTACAGCCGGAATAAGGCCTGGGATCTGCGTTCCCCTCTGCCCTGAGGCCCAGCTGTGGGTGATTCTAAGGCACAGTGGTGAAGAACATGATTGGCCCATCAGTGTGGTCCTCTGGTCCGTGCAGCCTCTTGCCTGGAAAACAGTGCGACAAGCATTCCATTTAGAAGATCTTCCGGAACACGTGCCAGCAGCATTCTCTAGTGGAAATGGAGGCAGGTCTCTCTTGAAAGAGTGCCCCAGAAGACACTCTCTGCCCCAAGACCCACTAGGTCCCTTTTAAGGTCCCAGAGAGCAGCAACCTGGGAGCAACAAGACTTTCAAAGGCTGACAAGGCACAGAGTGGATGAGTGAAAAGGTAATACATGAGAACAATAGCTTTGGCTATAAAACATCCCACCTGAGGCTGGGAGATCAGTGTCCAAACATACAGAAACAGATATGCTCGTAGCAGGTGTGAATGTAACAAAAATCCACACACACACACTACAAAACAAGCCAGAAACTGGCATGTGGAGCCTGCATCAGGGCAGCACTCCTGGCACTCTGCACTCAGTCACTGTGATCAGTCCCATCGAGACAGCTCAAGGAACACTGCCTACACTTGAATGGCAGGGTGTGTCTTGAGAAAAGTTAGGCTGCACCCAAGACTGCCAGGTCTGGAAAGTCTTTCACTTCTCCAACTTCGCTGAAAGGCTGTCCACCCTGGTTGAATGTCAGCTTATACCGTAACCGGATTGGCTCCTGGGCAAAGATAGAAGATAAATTAGTGAGGAGCAGCACGAAGTAAAAGCCTTTCCCATGCAGTAGTCACCAAGCAACAGTGCATGCCTGTTAACTGAGGCTTCACACCGTGACAGGACACCCGGGCCTAGACCCCTGGGGACTACAAACAGGGGAGCCAGGTCCACAGCCTGGGATTCAAGTCCTTTGTCCCACACTTGTGCAATCCTGAGCTGAACCACTGCTAAGAGACCAGCTGAGGACGACAGACAGGTCTCACCCTTTCAGAGGACTCCATGTAATAGGAGAGTTTGTCACTTCCTCGGTTCCCAGCCATGACGATCTGGTCACGGGGCTTCTTTCAGTAAGCCCCAAAGGAAAACACACACTAGCAGGGACAGCCCGCCACCACTCCCCACCACCCAGAGGCCTCAGAGGAAGACTGCAACAGGCCTCTCTCCACCTACCACGCTGCCACCCTACCGTTCAGGGCCCCACCTCCCTGCTGTTAAGGACACCGGAGCATACTTTGTGTGGATTGTCAAGCAGCAGCATCTGAGAGATCACGGCTGGAGGCATTAGAGGACTGAACGCTGGGAGCTGGGAGCTGGATGCCGGCTGCAGTTTCACTCTCATTGACTATGAGGATGGGGGAGAGCCAACATGCAACTCATTTCTAGTAAATGACAGCTTTAATAAGACGATCAGGTGAACAGAGAGCCTGACCTGCACCCCACCAACTAATGACAGGATTCAAAAGACGGTTCCTCCCACACACAGAATGTGTCTGACGTGTGTGTCGGTCCTTGGCTTCTGAGAGGCACATGCAGAGCCAGGGCACATCTTGAGTTGAACTCCAACTCCGGCTCTCACTAGCTCTAGCACGTTGGGTAAATATTTAACCTTAGAATGATAATTTATAAAACAGAAGTAACAATAACACGTGCCCCACATGATCACCATGAGGATTAGAAAGTCGATCTTGGGCCCTAGCTGGTTTGACTCAGTGGATAGAGCATCGACCTGTGGACTGAAGGCTCCCGGGTTTGATTCCAGTCAAGGGCATGTACCTTGGTTGCAGGCTCGACCCCCAGCTCAGGTGGGGGCCTCTGCAGGAGGCAACCTATCGATCTCTCCACATCGATGGTTTTTCTTTCTTCTTCTCCCCCTCCCCGCCCCCCCAATTCCATTCTCTGTAAAAATCAATGGAAAAATATCCTCTGGTGGTGAGGATTGCAACAAAAAAAATGTGCGGGATGAGGGGGATACAAAATCCCAGCTGGTGTTGCTCAGTTGGTTGAGCATCACCCCATGCACCAGGAGGTCACCAGTTCAATTTGCCGGTCAGGGCACATACTTGGCTTGAGGGCTGGATCCCCAGTAGGGTGCATGCAGGAGGCAACTGATCAGCTGATCCATGTTTCCCTGTCATGGATGTTTCTCTCTTTCTCTCCCCCTCCCTCCACTCTCTCTAAAAATCAATGGGAAAATTTCCTCAGGTGAGGATTAACAACAAAAAGGAATAGCTCAGCCCCCACATCTGTGCGTCAAAAATTTCAAACACCATGCTTGGTACAACCTACCTGCTAAACTGAAGGAAAAACCAGCTGATATCCCCTACTGTAGAAGTTGTCTCATAGATTTATAAAATTCCAAACCCCAAAGGAAGGGTAGGGATCATTGCATTTGGGCTTTCTCGTTTC